GCCCTTCTCCTACTTTATTTTCAATCAAAAAAACGACCCTTCCCAAGAGAAAAAGGATGCCTATATATATCAATATATGTATGAGGTCAAAGGTACACACACTGAAGAGAAAAGAAAAACAGAGATAATGAATAAAACAATAGAAGAAGGACGAAAGAAAGAGACGAACAAACGACTAATCTGCTGCCTGGCATTACTATAGCATTTCTTCTCAGACACTCGAACCACATGTATGTCATCATTATTTCATATATCATTCGTTCGATTTTCCTTCACATAATATTAATCTTAAATTTTTTTTAATCAAAGAAGCAAGAAATACGTAGCATTACCATGTCTCCGCTACATTCGTGTCTATTTCTGAGGTTATTAGTGGTAGTTTACGCTGGAAATAAAATATGGTTATGTGAAAAAAAATCTTTATTTTTTGATTAATTTGAGTAAAAATCGATATTTTCGATAAATTTGATTGAAAATTGAATTTTTTGAGGTTTTTGAGGTTTTTGATGTAAAACTGATTTAATCTCAAAAACTCAGCTTTCCCCCCCTTGAACATTTTGGTATGATATAGTAATTCACTTAATCTTCTAACATTTATATAGGGTACTGAGTATCCTTTTCAAATCTTAGCGCATCTTTTTTAAGTTATACTGATTATACTGTTCTGAGCATCGTTCTCTGTATTGTAGTATATTCAGCCTACCAGACATAGCAAGATACTGTGTGCTTCTACTTTTCATCATGATAAATTAATTATTCCTTGATGTGAAAAAGAAGCTGAAAATTATACTTTAAATATCTGGGACGAACTGAGAGTTAAATATATATACAAATTTAGTTGGGACGGATTGAGAAAAATATTTATGGGACGAATTGAGAGAGACTAATTTGGGACGAACTGAGAGGACACCGATGAATATTCGATGGAAATAGATAATTTATTCTTTTCTATAAAGAGAAATAAAGTTCACCACATACATATATACGAACACATAAGAGAATAAGATCAAAGAAAAGGATAAAAAAAGCAGCATCCTTGATACTTAGAGTCGATTACTTAGAGTAGAACTATAATGTTGCACACCATGAAAAGCAACAGTGGAGCCCTTTGGTGCAAAACATTTCGGGATACCGACGAGATCTCTGCGCCGTACACGTAAATCAATGCGCTCATTTCGAATAAATCTCGAGGATCGCTTCTCTATAAATAAACCAACAAATTTTTATATCCATAGACATATAAAAATGGTAGGTGCTTCTTCACTAACATCATAAATCATGAAAACAGAGTTCACTGTCATGTGTTCGAATAATAAGACAACTTTGTCCAATTAGTGTTGTTCTATTTACACTCTTAGGATACGTGAAAGTTTGTTCTAATTTACCATCTTTGTTAATCATATGAAGTTCTTTTTTTTCCGGCTCATGTGTCAGCCATTGTCCATTTGGAAGAGAGAGAAGACGATACCCGTATTCCAACCAAGGAAATGTGATGTTGTTGAGGGTCTTCATTGATCGATCTCGTACATGAAACAGATTGTATTGATCTTTTACACATACTGTTACACCTATATAACTGCCGTCACAGGAAAATCGAATATCTGCAATCTCCTCATTCTGTTGACATAACACAGGTGGTCGCCATCGTCTCATCATTTTCCATTCTCCACTCATATCCCACTTCTCAACAACTGGTCCATTACCCTGAAGAGTCACCAACAGCAATGTTTGATTTGAACATGTGCATTTCCGAAAATCTGCATTCTTCTTGTCTGACACTTGTTTGATTTGTGCTACTTCAGTTGTTTGAACATTCAATGAATGAAGAGTTCTCCAAGTCAATATTAGAAATCTGTCAAGAAACGATGACCAACAAATACTCCAGACATAGCCCCCACCCCACCGAAGTGCATTTGTCTTGTGACCAGCTCGATCAGTCAAACACAGTGTGTCGTCGCCACAATAGAGCAAGTTCATATCAGATGCTTCCATCGTCGACCAACCTTTATCCACTTCGATTATCTCTGTGGTCTGTCTTTGAGTTTATTGAAGTCGAGTTGTTTCACTTCACTGTCTCTCTTCTCACTTCTCTTTGGTGACCTGGACACATGACTCAGATGTTGCCTCTTTCTCACTTTAATCATTTCCTTCCACTCACACTCATCACCACTTTCGATCACGGTTGTCGATGTCATGGCCTTCATATCGGCATTCACCTGCTTTATTTCATTCATCCATCGATCGAGATCGTACTCCACATAGTCCTCTTCTTCCATTCTGGGTCGAATCTCATCTGTGATTCGTTTCAGCTGCTTCTTCGGCTCAGAAACAATGTCAAGTACTTCTTCTCGTGCACGATCAGCAGCCATCTTCACCTTCTTCATCCACTCTGTCTCCCACTTCTCAATCTCATCGAACACCTTTAAAGTGATGGCATCACACGTCTGGTGGATGCTTTGTTTGACAGAGTCGTGCTCTCGAACGATGATGTCGAGTTGTGTTGAGAGTTGTTGTTGATGTTCGTTGAAGTCCTTTCGACAGAACATTTGTTCACAGCCGGGACATAACGAGATCCCCGCACCTTTCCGACATAAGTCACATTTTCTCGATGTCGTCGAGTTCTTCTCTTTCAGCAATGAAGTCACGTTCGATTATCGCTGAAATCAGAGTAAGGCGAGTTTTAGCTTGACTATATATGCTGGAAACAGTGGTAGTTCTACAGCTTCTTAGTCTTATTGTTGATAAGCGTCAAGTCTTTTGTCATAAATTAGAAGGGCACAACCCCTGTGTACAGCTGATGTATGCTCTGAATGGTTTTTGATCGAGATGATGATTGTCTCATCGAGCCTAATCATGCGCAGTTATCCTGGTGAAAGAGTCGAAATTTGACAAAGATCACTTTGCGTTTGATGAAGAGACTATTTGCTAGGAGTGATTGTACTTCAACCTACCCTTTCTGTCTGGAATTGACTTTTGCTTCTCGAATAGGAGTTTGTGTATGCTTGTATATTGTGGCTATTGTTGACGCTTATTCTCTACAATTTCATCAAGTTTCGAAAGAATGAAAAGTATTTCTGTGCAACACTAACTGATTGTCAAAAGCATGTGCTTTACCCCTTTCACATTCAGGTTGAAGTAGATGAAGAAATGTTTCTTTTCTCTTCCAGAAGACAATCGCAGTTCTCGTTTGCATATACATTGTAAGGTGCACGTAAAGCAAATTTCAAGCACTTTTTGTTTTTCGCTAAAAGGTACACCATCCAATGCACAATTTGATGCTGATCACGAATATCACCTGAAAGTTCAAAAATGTTTTGTTTTGGGGGAGAAAATTGCAAAATACTGAAAACCTCCAAAAACTTCCAAAATTTCTTACTTTTCGAAAAATACTCATAACTTTTTCTAGAAAGCTGCTACCAACTCAAACTTTTTTTTGTTAAATTCACCATTGAAAACTGAGTCTAGCCCAGTACATTTTAGCCCTGAGTTCCGAAAATTAAACTTTTTGAAAAGGTTAAAACCGGAAAGCCTCAAAAATGAGGCCTCTCCGCGAAAAATCTATCTAGTTTTTCCCCTTAGGAGCTAACCCATTGAATCTTATGCCATTCGATAGCCCTATATCTCAGCTACAACTGGACGGAGGATTTTTGGGAAAAAAAATTTTTTCGCCGAGAAAATTCATTTTTTCTAAATAAGAGGCGAAAAACTCGCAATTCTGACCGTAAGTCCCAATTTTCTCGATCAGAACTCAACTTTTGAGCAATAAAAATATCATTTTCGGAATCAGAATCAAAAACTGAGTCGATTGATATGAAGCCAAGTTTTATTTCAGTTATTTAAATGTAACAAATTCTGAGTTAGCTTAGCTTAAGAGCCATTGCAGATAAGCGGCGACCAACCGTGCTCAATCGACTTTCTCCAAACTGTATTTTAATTACAAAGGGCAAAAGTACAATCAATAGCAAGTTTTTTGCCGCAAATCCCAGCTCTACAACTCAAGTAGTTATTGAGCTATTCAAGTTTCAAGAAAAGTTGCCATTTTTTGGGTGGTAAATTAGGATCAATTAGCGTTTAATCTTGACTATGTTATTTTCTAACGGCTTGACTTAGAGACACGAAAATTTCAGCAAAAATACAGCTTGAATCAGGCTAGAAAACAGTGCAAGTCCGGACTCTAGAAGTCGTTTTATTATCAAGTTATAGATGGCGCTACCGCTACTAATTCACCATTCATTATCTCGTGTACCGCTGAGCCTTACCAGCTCATGTAAGGCTCAGCCTTTTACAGTAGATACTAGAAGAGTGGAGTGATACAACGGCAACAGAAAAACTTGAAGAAATTGAATTTTTAGTGAAATTTTGGCGCCGACGGATAGACTCAATCCATATAAAACCGATCACCATTTGCATCGATCTTTGGCGTCAGTGACGAAAACTATCTCATATTATAGAACTCAGCAAGCTGAACCGAATGGTGAAAACCGTAAGTCTCTGGCTGTGATAGAAAAAAAGTTATAGCCATTTTATCCTCGCAGCGGAAAAATGCGTCTTCGTGATTTTTGTAGAACTTCTGCGGACAGCATTACTTAACGCAGAACCTTGAACGTGGTATCAAATGGAAGAGCGCGTCGAATTCTATATATTTCCATGAAGAAAAGTTATGCTACACCGCGGGGTGTTGAGATAGGGATTTCTGAAAAACCTGGTTTTCTAAACCTAGTAATCTTAAAATTTCTTTCAGAAGTTTTTCAACCATATCATCGGATAGTCGCTTCAATGCTCCACAAAATGAGATGCTGGTCACGTTTCTACGATTTTGTGTCAAAAAATGCCATAGAAAATACGACACTGCTCGAAAATGGCAATAAAGGGAATGAATTTATATAACGTGTATATTTACGTAATGTGAAAAAGCCTATAACTCGATCTTTCAAGATTGTAGAAACTTGACCAGCATCTCATTTTGTGGAGAATTGAAGCGGCTATGCAATGATATGGTTGAAAAACTTCTGAAAGAAATTTTAAGATTACTAGGTTTAGAAAACCAGGTTTTTCAGAAATCTCTATCTCAACACCCCGAAGTGTAGCATAACTTTTCATCATGGAAATATATAGAATTCGACGCGCTCTTCCATTTGATACCACGTTCAAGGTTCTGCGTTAGGTAGTGTTGTCCGCAGACGTTTTATAAAAATCACGAAGATGCATTTTTCATTAGTTTGAATATTGTTATATTTCGCTGTATTTTTATTTGATACTGATGTCTTTCGATAATTATGCTGTGAATAATAACCACGTTCAATAATTTCTTTACATGAATCACACTAGACCTAAACAAATAATAAAGAATGAATTTTTTTTATGAATATATCATAGTTTTTTTTTAAACCTGTAATTCATCTAAAATATGTTGCATAACACGACTTGATTTTTGAAGAGTTGTTACTCTTAAATCCTTTCGACAATTATTGTATACGCCAATTAGAAAAATGTCCCGAGGGACATTTTTCTAGTTGACATAAGCATCTAAAACACAAAATAAATTATCACAATCCAAATGGATATAAGGATCATCGAGTGGTTCGAGACAACTACAACAGATGGGAGATCGAGCTATTCGATTCTCCATCAACATATGTGTATTCATTAACTGATGTCGTCATGTTATATTAAAAACTCCTATATGAAAACTTTTAGTCTTACGAGTAAATATCTATTTAGAATGAGGAAAAACACATACTAACAAGAGGAGTTGGATATTTTTACAATTAGGTACGACATAATGACTAATGTGTATTTTAAAACTTCAAACAAAGACCGTTTTTAACGTTTTGTCCTTAAGCAAACACACATTATATTAGCTGTCATATAGGGCATAGATAAGAGACAGCAGTATTTATGATTGTTTTCTTCTTCTGCTTACAGGTATCTGAATAATAAGTATTTGTTCTATACTAGAATCGTCTAGTGACTTGAACATTAGCGTACCAATTCAATTGGTCTTCCATTATTAGTAATATGTGCAGTTTCTGGACACATCTCAAACGGTGAATATCAACTTCTTTTTTTTCTGTTTTACATTTCGTTTAGTAGGCCTCTAGCATTCAGATAGAGATATACATATATCTCATATATGTCTATTGACATTTACTTCATAGTTTTATTTTCAGAACGATTATTACATCTTTTTAAAAATATTTTCTTAACTATTACGCAAAAAGACGCAACATCACAGTTAAGGCATTAATCTTAGTTACTGTACATACAACTCTCTTAGCTCTTAAAATAAAAACAATCTCTAAACAATAATCTGAAAATTAAAACATTTACAACTGATTAGCTGTTTAGTAAAAATATTGAACGTGAAGAAAGAACAGTAGTAACAATTAAAACATCTATTTTCATGACGATCAAAAATATAGCCACGCATATTTCTATTTAGGCTGTTGCAGCTCAGAAAATAAATGACAAATTGTGGTGTTGTACAAAAAATATAAGGTCAAAAACTTTAGTTAAACTTAAGCTAAAAGTAGATAATCTGTCTTATAAAGATATTTTTACCGGTATATAAAGTGTTTTTATTCTGTTGACTTAGGCAAATCCTAAGGTATCTGTTAACTTTCAGTAACTTTTCTTCACTCAGGTTAGATCCAAGTTAGTGATCTAACTTTCTTAACTCAGACATCTAAACTTCTCTTTTAGTTACACTTTTAGTACACATTCTGTTTAAGAGTCGTTGCACGGTACAGATGACCTAAGTTACTCAGTCAATGTCTGAACTTTTTGTTCATATTTGCATAGTAGGTAGCAACGACACACTTACGAAGATTGCCAACAGTTTTTCATCGGAACTTATTTTCCTGAAAAGTTATGGAATATTTCGTAAAAACCTTAAAAATAGGCTGAAACGATAACTATATGCAAGTAAAACTTCTTTTGTTTATATCTTGGTCTGCGAAGTAGATAAAGAGTCCAGATTTAAAGCATAAGTAGTCGAGGTTCAGTACTATGTATAGCCAAGAATATATGCAAAAACAACTGTTGCATATGTGGGAACATATACTCACAACAAGAAGAATTTTAATGCATAATTGCAGTATAAAAATGACCCAGTTGAAGATCGATTTTCTCGCCTGATACCTCTTGAAATTTTGGCGCTCATATGTCAATGATGAGTACTCATGCCAGCTTGTCAAACTATGCTTTCGGATTTATGGTGTATTCAGCTTCAGTCTGGTTTATTACAATGGTTCAAAAAAAAATCTATTGTCAAAACAATCTATGGTCATCTGTACCGTGCAACGACTCTTAAACAGAATGTGTCTCATGAAAAAACTAAAAGAGAAGTTCATAATCTGTTATCAATATTTGTTCTGTAATTTCTCTTGCTCGCATATAACCTCAATCATATAAATCCGTAATAATTTCTATTTCAAGAGGTGAAAATTTCAAATAGGTACGCTTTGTTTTTGATATACTTATCGTAGACATCATTTAGTGAATATTCAGAAATGATAAATGTATCTGGACGTCAGATGACATATAT